CAATAGTTCCAGCTAACCACTTTTAAGGAAGAGAAGGAAGTGGATTTTGAAAATCCACTTTCTTCTTAGTTATGGCTGGTATAATCATTGGTGGTGGAGGTTCTCTAGCATTGGAGGGACCTGCTTCCTCTTCAGGTAAAGAGAGTCTCTGTTTTGCTGATTTTCTCAGTGTTGTTCCAGACTTACTCTCTCTTGGACCAGTACTTGAAACTCCAGTGGTCTTTCTTCTTGGAGAATTCTGAATAAGTTCCTTGTTTCTCTTGCTAGATTTGGCTCCTGCTAGGCTTAATGGGCTCTTAATAACCAGCTTATTGAGTGGTGGTCTTCCCCTTTTTTTCTTTACTACTGCAGGTCCTTTAGCATTTAAAACTGCAGGATGAATTGGGAGGTCTGAAGATTGAGACAGGGGAACCTGAGCTTCAGAAGTCAGTCCATTGATTGCATTTGTCAGAGTTGATGCAGCAATGATCTGAGCTGCTGTTTCTGCCATTAGTCCCCTAGCCTCACCCTGTAGAACCCTCTGTTTTCTTGCCAAACTCTCTGTTGGGTCTGCGCAGTTCGTGTATTGCACTGTTACCTCTCTTAGTTCCCCCATTATTTGTTCTGTTGTAGGCACAGGTCTTGGGATAAGAGGAGAGGATTCTCCTGCAATAGAGCCTCTTTCTAGAGGGGGGCGTCTTGTTCTTGAGTTTTCTGATCTCTCCAATTCTTCACTTGGTAATGTAGCTCTTTCTCTCCATTGAAGATTAGGCATGTGACTAATATAATGTTGCCCACTGAAGCTTCTACTAGGTGTCTTTCTGGAGTAGTCCAGAGATCTTGGTGGGGATCTTCTTGTATTAGTGAGTCTATTTTCATAAGCTCTGGATCCCGAAGAATTATAAGGTCTGGTTCCTTTTTCTTCATAACGCCTCTTGCTGGAGTTATAGTCTCCTCTTGAGTCCACTGGTCGAGACTGAGAAGAGAATTCCCCTCTTGTTCTTTCTCTAGACTTCTCCAGGTTGTAGTTTGAAGCAGACCGGTTGGGAGAAGAGTTTCTTGTGACTAGAGGAGGCAGAGGAAGTTTAGTGGATGGTTTTTCTTTCTTTAGTCCAGGGCATGAGTTGATTTCATGGGAGAGCCTTTGGCAATGAAAGCAGTGTTTCTTAAGATTCTTGTAGTCTAAGGTGACCAAAGCTTCTTTACCATCTGAGAACTCCACCAAAGTTTGCTTAGTCAGGGGAGCTAGTCCATTAATCTCTACTTTTATTTTTGCAGCTGTAGGTGATATTTCGTGATCCACGATGGTTCCCAACTCTTCACCAATCTTGAAGATCATTTGCTGTTTCCAGAAGTGCATTGGAAGTCCCTGTAACTCTATCCAGAAAGGGATCTGGGAGGGAAATGAAGTGGATATGACAGGCTCCCATTTTTGTAGAATAACCATCCATTGGTCAAAGTGATATGGCCTGTTATCCAGCACTTTTGCAAGATCTTCTTCATATTCAAAGCGGAATTGAAAGCATCCATTTCCAAGATCCGAGCCAATGGCCTTGCCTCTAAGGTTCCAGCGATTAGATAGGTATGGAATGAGAGACCATAGTCTTTGAGCTGTTGGGTTTGTGAGTCGTCCCATGAGTGTGAGTTCATTTTCTAATATCAGATCTGCATTATCCAAGTCTGGAGCTCGGATTCTCTTTAGTGGTGGAGCTGAGAAGTCTTGAAAGTGTTCATTCTCTACTCTTTGACGCTGATAGTTGTTGTGTTTCCCTATCTCTGAAGCTGAGGTGGATTTGTGGTAGTATCTATTAGACTCATTGTAGTGCTGAGAGATTCCTTTTCCTTTAGCAGAGTAGGGAATGCGATGACTCATTGTTGTACTTTGATGTAGTAGGTTCTTTAAGCAGTTGGTTGTCGAGGAGAGAAGCAAAGTTCTTCACACAAAGGTGAGAGGTTTTGACAAAACAAACGGACAGAGTCCTTATAAAGATTCCAAAAGTTCTTCACATATAGTGAGAGCATTCAATAGCCTTTGACCAGGATTTAACCATAAATGCAGGGTCTGAGATGTACCTTAGAAGAAGCATTTAAGCAGCTGTGGAGGAAGATGTGAGTTTGAGCTGCACCTCTTCAATCTTTTCTGGTGATTCTCGTGGTCAAAGTCGAAGGAAGAGCTGGTCTCAGAGCGAGGGGCGTCTCCTACGCCGGTCTCACCTGAGGGAACACCGGAGTTTGTCTCCAAAGAGGAGTTTTTGACCGGAATTTCTATTTTGGGTAAATAAAAGTGGTTGAGAAAGTTCTCTTTTTGGTAACTTGGGGTGATTAGGAACATTGGTACTGATTAGGATCTTTTTTTTTTCTTTATAGAAAAAGGAACAGTTGACGCTCAAAATTGAAATTCATTAATAAATTACTATAAATCTGCATATTTTTCAAAATATTACGAAACTTTAGTTAAATCTTAAAAATGATTTGAAAAAAAAAAATCTTATGAAGAGGACGGTAACAAAGCTATTAGAACAAAGAATCGGAATTTAACATTTACACCAAAAAAAAAGGACAAAGAATCGGAATGTATTCATGGTAACAGAGTGATAATAACAATATCATTGTAACAAAAATAGTGAAAGCGGTAATGGTACATGTCATTGCAATAAAGGAATAAGAGCATGAGAAAGAAATGTGAATGTGTAAATAGGTATTAATGATGAGTGTTTATGGTAAGAATATGCATGAGACTGTGTAAACCATATTTAAAATTAGATGTATGGTTATGTATCACTATGGACGGATAACTAGGGTTTTTTCCCCATCTTAATGTCATTAAAAGGAATAATCGAAACCTAAAGGTTTTCAAAACAGAGCAACAACTTATAAGCTTAAAAGATAAAGAAAAACATCACATAATTACACAAAGGTAATCAATAATTCTGAAGTAAAGAGAGCTTGTTTTACCATAAAGGTATAGCCCAAAAGCGACTTTCGGTTGTCGAGGATCATCCACAATAACACTCCGGGAAATTAGAAGCAGCTTTATTTTGATTTTTGTACGACTTTCATGAATCCACTCCCATTCAAACACATTAAAAATCTTAGAGGAGACGAACCGCCGAGCAGGCCAAGAAGAGGGTTTGTTTATAGCCCCAACAGTTTCTGATGCTTCCAAAGTGAAGATGATCTTAGAGAGTTTATGGCTAGCTATGATTTCTGTGGCCCAAAAATGACTTCGTGACTTAGCATCCATTAGGATAACAATGAAGCTAAAGGCATGCCAACTATGAGCCAGAACAGTTCCCATATAATCTCTTAATACCCATGCCACTCCACACAATAATTTTTTCTTAGACCAAGAGAAGCCGATATTTCATTTCAGCCATCTTTTTTGGGAGCTTCCCATTTTTTAATCTGAATTTTACTCTCTCTATTTAATTCATCTTCACCACAAGTTTCGTGACACACAAACCATTGATTCACATTTTCAAGGATCTATGCATTCATTTCAGTAACTTGAAAACGTTTCTCTTCAAACAAAAACTTATTTCGGTTCTTCCATATTATTATTACCCATAGTATCCACGGGTAGTTTCTTCTAGATCCTTATTTTTTCTTCATTCTTTCTGTATTTTATTTGTACGGTTCTTTTTACTCGTAAATTTCCTTTCACCTTTCAAAACTTAATTAATGCAACTCCATAAGTGTTAAAAATCTATGCAATAGACATCGTTAAAATATTAAGTAATTATATTCAGATATTTTAAATATAAAATCATCTATACTTTTATGCATGTGCCACAAAAAGTACAAACCTATTATTGAAAAAGATGTTTTAATATCTTTAGCTATAAATTTGAACTGTTGAGACTCAATAAAATATATGTTAATATTGTTTCATTTGTAATTCAATTCAAAAGTGTCAACAAGGGCTGTTCATTTATTCTATGCATATCAAACCCCACAAGATTTTATCACAATACGATTTGAATAGAATATTAAGAAAAGGGCACAAAGGCAGAGGTTAGTTTGCTTGTCGTGTTACATAATGTTGAAGACATATAATAAGTTAGCTAGAGAACATGTTCTGGAAATGTCAGCTTGCTTTGATACAAACCCAACAGTTTTCATACTAATTATGTTTCTTTGTTATAAACTTTCAAAAAAAGCATAACACTAACAGTTTCATTGAACATGTATTTCTTGAAGAACCCACAAACCAAGTAACCAACAATTTGGTCACAAGACTCACAACCACCTTATTGTTTCCATGTTTGGCCAACAAACGAAATATATATACATATATGCTATAAATCAAGTGCTTGTTTATGGTTTAGGACATTATATTATAGTGTATAAAGTAACTTATATAAATATAATAACTTCTATAAGTTAATAATATTGGAACTTTTAAAATTTATTAATTAATAAAGATATAAATAAATTGATAAACTAATATATAGTAGTTTGTAGAAATACTACTTTAGTCCTTATATTCACATTTTATATTTAATTCAATGATAATTTTATGGATTATGAAAAATAAATTTGTCAAAACATGTTAAAATTAAAACACATAACAATTTTCTTATATTCTTATTTTTTCCAATATATCATTGTTTTATTATATTCTTGAGGACCTAAATAAAATGTAAAGTATTTATTATAAATGCAATTCTCATTTAATTGTATTCAAATTTTAATTAGTTAGCCAACTTAACTTAGCAAGCAAGTGTACACACTTCTTGAAGATTTTATGTTATTAATTAGCAGTATGTGATGATATTAATCTCTAGTAATATTAGTTTTTTCTTTGTATAATGAGTTTATTGGTCTCTCTTCGAGCTTTATAGGCATGTGATCTCTTGAGAACTGATTAACCTTTGTTTTTTATTCGTGATAATAATAATAAAAAATGTTAATTCTATAATTAGATTTAGCAATGATTTTTTCTTTTATCTCCGAGATATTTGTTCTGGTCCTTCTGGATTATTGCAAACTATAACTTTAGTAAAATTATACGTTCTAACAAATTCCAAATACTTTTATTTGATTTAAAGAAAAAAACAGAGATCCATAATATATCACACGAGATATATGATTAAATTTGAAACAGTAAACCCAAAACAAAGAAGACATGATAATGGAAAATGAAAAGAACAGCTTTTGTAGTCCAAAAGTCTTGGAAAGTTACGTTCATCAACTGTTTCAGAGAAAATGTAAGATTTGTTTTGGTGGTTCAATCCAAACACTCTGAACATTCTTTTTCTCATCCCAAGAAAGAGTACATGAGTTACTTGGGAGATACTTTCCTTCATCAGAAACATAAGTTTGAATCACCGGGTGAAGAAACTTTGTTTCTCATGTTGCTCATGAGACCTGATCTCCACTTGCATGCACGAAAATCCCCAAAAATTGTCAACCCTTCATCAAATTTATCCTTGTCTTCCCATGTCCAATCACCATTACGGTTTAGTGCATACCCTCGTAGATAATCACTAGATACTTTTAGGAGAAAAATGTCTCCTTCAATATCTACCAAGTAGGTTCCGAACCACGAGGTTGAAAAACGTCTCAACTGATGAATGTCCCATGTTTGTCTTGATGGGTCGAAAACCGCTAAGGTGCCTAACCCACCAAGACAATAGAAAAGACCTTCCGAAAAGATAATTCTGTTGTGATAAGTAAAGAAATCTTCAGGACTGACGAAACGAGTAGTCTTCCAGTTGGTTTCACCGACTTTTAAAGTATTGATGGCGATAAGATTGTTGTCGTTTTTGATGTTTGCCAACCCAAAAACCAAGCAATCATCGGAAGTAGGAGCGCTAGTGAAAACAGCAGATTTGTTAGAAGTCTCACAAATAGGCAAATTTATGAGCTTACGAGTAAATGGGTTGAAGAAGAACATCTCAGACGAGTGACCGTTGCACATAAGTAACCAACCATCTTTAGAGTAATAAACAGTCATGCCTGCCATTTCAGGAAACTCCATAATGTATGTCGTATCATGTAAAGGGTCATAAAATTCAAAAGGCCTCTTGCTCCCTACAGATGAAGGGTATTTCATATTAAGGATACACATATAAGGAAAACAGATATGATCACAAATCATCATCTCTGTCATATGATATCATCTCCTCTGTCAATGCTTTCTATTTACTGTGTACATATTCTATTTCCTTGTATAGCTCTAGAGACTCTGTATAAAAGAACAATGTACTCTCTTCTAATAAATCATCAGTTTACACTACATTATATGGTATCAGAGCCTAAAGATACCTAGACCTAAAAATTTTCTTTCGCCGCCGCCTCTTTTCTTCTCTGCGCCTTCTCTGTTTTTCCGGCCAGCCTCCTCATGTCGACATCCACAGGCGTGAATGCTTCTTTTGAAACAGTGTCACCAAACACTGGATCTCTCCTCCATGTCAATATGACAAACGTCACTAAGCTCACCACTTCCAACTACCTAATGTGGAGTAAACAAGTCCACGCCCTCTTTGATGGGTATGATCTTGCTGCCTATCTTGATGGATCCAAGGTCTTCCCTGATGCCACAGTCACTGTCGATGGCGTTACCTCTCCAAATCCAGCGTTTGTTCAGTGCACCCGCCAAGACAAACTCATATATAGTGCTCTAATTGGCGCTATCTCCAACACCATTCAGCCGCTACTCTCACGTGCTAACTCTGCTGCAGAGATCTGGAGTAAACTTGCCTCCACCTATGCTAAACCAAGTCGAGGCCACATCCGTCAACTGAAGATTTAACTCAAACAATGGAAGAAAGACGGCAAAACGATTGATGCTTATGTTCAAGGGCTTGTCACTCGTTTTGATGAACTGGCTCTTCTTGGGAAAGCACTCGATCATGAAGATCAAGTGGAGATCATCCTTGAAGGACTGCCTGAAGATTTCAAATCTGTCATTGACCAAGTGGAAGGCCGTGACACACCACCAACACTCACGGAGTTGCATGAAAAGCTCATTAATCATGAGTCTAAGCTCTTATCGGCACAGCCTCTTCTACCAACACCGGTAACTGCCAACATTGCCACTCATCCTCGTAGCAACAATAACACCAACAACAATCGTCACCAAAACCGCAACACTCAGCGCAACAACAGTTCCTAGCAGCCTCAACAACGCCAATACTATGATTCAAAGGCACCACGTCCATACCAAGGACGTTGCCAAATCTGTGGGATTCAGGGTCATAGTGCAAGACGTTGCTCTCAGTTGTCACTGCCACCACAACAGGCGTACACAAACCCACCGTCTTCTCCTGTACCATGGCAGCCACGAGCTCATTTCACCACTGCAAATCCTCTTGCAACCAACCCATGGCTGCTTGATTCTGGTGCCACTCACCATATTTCATCCGATCTCGCCAACCTCAGTCTTCATCAGCCTTACACCGGTGGAGAGGAAGTGGTAATCGGTGATGGAAAGGGGCTCTCTATCACTCATACTGGTTCGACTTATCTCACCTCTCAAACTCGGCCTTTATCTCTTAATGATGTTCTTTATGTTCCAGACATTAAGAAGAATCTTATCTCGGTATATCGCTTATGCAATGCTAACAACGTTTCTGTTAAATTCTTTCCGGCTTCCTTTCAGGTGAAGGAACTGAGCACGGGGGCGCCGTTACTCCAAGGCCGTACTAAACATGAGCTGTATGAGTGGCCACTTTCCTCTTCTCAAGTTTCTGTTTTTTCAACTTCCACTACAAAAATAAAATCCGATGTCTCAACTTGGCATTCCAGGCTTGGACATCCATCCATTTCTATTTTACAAAAGATGCTTTCAAGTTTTAATTTACCTGTTTCCGATTCCTTGTCAAAGCCACTCTCTTGTAGTGATTGCTTAACTAATAAAAGTCATAAATTATCTTTCTCTCAATCTTCAATCACCTCCACTCGTCCTTTGGAATACTTATTCACTGATGTCTGGACTTCTCCTCTACTGTCCATAGACAAATTCAAATATTACCTCATAATCGTTGACCATTTTACTCGATACACGTGGTTTTATCCTCTCAAACAAAAATCACAAGTCCGTGAGACTTTTATAGCATTCAAGTCTCTCGTCGAAAATCGATTCTCCTCCAAAATTGGAACTCTTTTCTCTGATAATGGAGGTGAATTCATTGCCCTTAAATCATTTCTCTCAACTCATGGCATCAGTCATCTTACTTCACCTCCTCACACTCCCGAGCACAATGGTCTAGCTGAAAGAAGGCATCGACACATTGTCGAGACTGGACTAGCTCTTCTTACTCACTCAGAAATTCCAACAATCTATTGGTCTTATGCTTTTGCTACAGCCGTGTTTCTCATTAATAGAATGCCAACTCCGACTCTTTCTTTTTCCTCTCCTTTTCAAAAACTGTTTGGCCAAATACCCAACTACCACAAACTCAAAATCTTTGGATCTCTATGTTTTCCGTGGTTAAAACCTTACAATTCCCATAAACTTCAACCAAAATCACTTCCTTGTATCTTCTTAGGCTACTCTTTAACTCAGAGTGCCTACCTCTGTTTTGAACCCAAAACCAATCGTCTTTACGTCTCTCGGCATGTTGTTTTCGACGAAACAAAATTTCCCTTCAAATCTCTCTCTCTGTCCCCTCTCTCTGTTGAAACAACTCAATCCTCAGCTATCTGGACGTCACCACACACAGTTCTTCCACCATCTCAGCCACTCATACCAGCTCCGACTTTGCCTCTGGAGTCAACGATGTCGCCACCGTGCTCCGTTTCTTCACCACCGTCAGGACAACCGGAAAATTCAACTGCAACACCGGCGATGCCACCATCAACGTCTGTCTCCGTCGCCGACTCTGATTCCGATGCTGCAACACAAACGCATCATCCTTTAACGTCATCGACCTCACCAAATTGCTCACAACAGGCCCAAACCACTCCCTCACAAATTTCGGCCCACACAGAGAGTCCACAAACTCCCACCTCCACAGCCCAAACACAAAGTCAACAAAACTCATCTCCCTCGGCCCAAATACAAAGCCCACAACATTCCACACATGAAACCCAATCAACCTCATCTTCTCCACTCGTCATCGTACCACAGGCACCCGAACCTGAAATTCAACTTCAGAACATCCATCCGATGCAAACAAGAGCCAAGAACCACATCACCAAACCTAATCCGAAATTTGGTCTTACCACTACCCTCAACTCTGAGTCCGATGATGAACCCAAAACGGTTGCTCAAGCTCTTCGGGATCCAAGATGGCGTAACTCCATGTCTGAAGAATTCAACTCTCAGCTTCGTCATCACACATGGGATTTGGTTCCTCCAGATCCATCGTACAACGTCATTGATACGAAGTGGATTTTCCGGACCAAATTTCTTCCCGATGGCAGTGTTGACAAATACAAGTCACGATTGGTCGCAAAAGGCTACAATCAGCAACAAGGCATTGATTTCCATGAGACTTTCAGTCCAGTAATCAAGAGCACCACCATTCGGATTGTTCTCGATGTTGCAGTCTCCCTATCATGGCCAATTCGACAAATAGATGTCAACAATGCATTTCTTCAAGGAAATCTCACTGAAGATGTCTACGTTTCACAACCTCAAGGGTTTGTAGACCCAGACCGTCCAACCTATGTGTGTCATCTCAAGAAAGCTCTGTACGGTCTCAAGCAAGCTCCTAGAGCTTGGTATTTGGAGCTTAAACGATATCTCGTAAGTGCTGGGTTTCGCAATTCTTTATCTGACACATCATTGTTTGTTCTCTGCCACGACAAACTCTTGGTATATGTGTTAGTATATGTCGACGATATTATCGTCACAGGAAACAATGCTGACGTTGTTGAACGCATATTGAAGAATTTGGGATCACGATTCTCAGTAAAAGACATGGGCGATATATCCTACTTCTTAGGTATTGAAGCAATCAGAACAGAGGCTGGTCTTCACTTAAATCAACGCAAGTATATCTTAGATCTTTTGACAAAGATGCGAATGCAGGACGCAAAACCAGTCACCACTCCGATGGCGAAAACTCCAAAGCTTACAATGGCAGGAGAGCCTCATTCAAATCCGACTGAATATCGAACATTGGTTGGTAGTCTACAATATCTTGCATTCACTCGACCGGATATAGCCTACGCTGTAAATCGCCTATCACAATTCATGCATTCTCCGACAACTGATCATTGGCAAGCTGCTAAAAGAGTCCTCCGTTATCTTGCTGGAACAAGCTCATACGGTTTATTTTTCCGCAAAGGTAATCCACTCACTCTTCATGGTTTTTCCGACGCTGATTGGGCAGGAGATGTGGCCGACTGTGTCTCTACCAATGCCTACATAATCTACCTTGGTGGTCAACCGATATCATGGTCATCTAAGAAACAAAAGGGTGTGGCCAGATCCTCAACAGAAGCGGAATACAGAGTAGTGGCAAATGCAGCTTCAGAACTTCTTTGGATATGTTCTATCCTATCAGAACTTGGTCTAAAGATGAACGCAGCTCCAACACTCTATTGTGATAACATTGGAGCAACTTATCTCTGTGCTAATCCCGTGTTTCATTCGAGAATGAAACATATTGCAATTGCCTACCATTTCATTCGGGAGCTTATTCAAAGTGGTAAACTTCGGGTCTCACATGTCTCTACCAAGGATCAACTCGCCGATGCGCTAACCAAGCCTTTAACTCGAGCAACATTTCAGTATCTACGCAACAAGATTGGAGTCACCTTAGTCCCTCCATCTTGAGGGGGCGTATTAAGGATACACATATAAGGAAAACAGATATGATCACAAATCATCATCTCTGTCATATGATATCATCTCCTCTGTCAATGCTTTCTATTTACTGTGTACATATTCTATTTCCTTGTATAGCTCTAGAGACTCTGTATAAAAGAACAATGTACTCTCTTCTAATAAATCATCAGTTTACACTACATTATATTTCATATGCCATAAATGGTGCTCTTTCGTCCGAACCGAAACACTAGCTTTATACCATGTTTTGCAAACTGCGGAAGCTTGGATGTTATCTTTTACAATGAGGCGAGACATTACCGAATGCAAAAGTTCTGGAAGAAGAATAGACCAATCTTTCTTCTCACCATTTTCTCCTTGAAATTTGTTATTCATCCTAATGAAGAGTTTCATACATAAAAAAAAATAGTTTTTTATATAATATATTATTTAAAATTAAAGATAAATTTTATCTCGCTCTAGACTTATCAGAAATTGAAAAACGTAAATATTATATATATATATATATAATATATATATAAACCAGTCTAAATTGATAACTTCTAACCAAATTACTAAACATTAATTTTTCATAATTCATATCAAACTCCTCATTCTTTATAATTAAACAAATTCTAAATTACTCTAATCTGAAAAAAATTAGGTGGAGTGAAACATATCATTTTATATATTACTAACGCTGAAAACCTGAATTTTATGTCTCTTTCGAAACATCTAATAAAATTAGAATTTTTATAAAATTAAAAATTTAAATTGCTAAGTTTTAAAAAACATGTCAAAACATTTCAAATAGTTTATAGGGAATTAAGAGTACTTTTAATCCATGGTAATTACAAAATTAAAAATTTAAATTAATCAAATCTGAAAAATAAACAGTAGAAAGTAATAGATCTTCTGATTGTATTTATTTCAAGATCATCAATAGATATTGTAAATATGAAAAACAAAATATCCGATAATCTCTAAAAACTTACAAAATGAGATTACTTCTTTCATCGGCCATTTTATTTGTAATATGAAAGAAGTCAAGAATGAACAATGAGAAAGCTGGAATGAAATTTTTATAGGGAATTTTATATACTTATATAGAACCAATTATGTATGAGTTTCTTTAATTCAGAATATCTTTTAGTCAAAGTCGCGCGTAAACTTGAAATTCGCGCGCAAGTTGAATAAACAATTTAAACACAGAAATACAATAATTTTTTTTATAAATGTCATTTATTGGTTTTCTTAAGATATTGACTAAATCAATAAATTTCTCATTCAGTCAATATAAAATAATGCATTTTCATATTGAATATGCTTTTGTAACAATCTATATTTTGGTTTCTAAATTTTTAAATATTTCTAAATTTCATTTCTAATTTTTTTTGCTAATATGGTATTCCTGTTAACAAAATTAATTTTATTTTTGTTTTACTCTATATAGCATTCAAATTTATGCAAATTAATAAATTTGGTATGAAGGTTGGCTTTTTAACTCTAATATATTTCCAAAATTTCAAATTTATTTAAACATATAGCTTAATTTCATTAGATATAAAATTCTTACATATGATTTTTTTCTTATTTAATGTAGCAAACTTTAGTTAATACTATAACAATCAATATAATAATAGTAAAATGGCTTGAACGAAACGGAAGACGTCACGGAGAAGCTCCTAACCCGTCCTCTTATCTGACAAGATCGATAGACAAGAACATTCGTAATCGGCTTAGCACTTTGGCGGGCTCAACATACTTCGAAGGAGGCCTTCGCTATTGGTTTCAAACTCGTGGCATTTAATTCTTTTATCGATTTAATTCTTTTTCGACTTTGATTTCCACTTTTGGCTTTGCAAGACGCACTCGTTGTAAAACAGTCTTTTTTTGGTGAATATAATTTTACATTCATACAAAATAATAATAATAAAAAAAAATAATAGTAAAAGTTGATATTTGGTCGGCGTTGTGGGTTGATAGAATTTGTTTTCAATAGACGGATTTAATTAAGAAAAAAAGAAAAATATATAATTAAAAATGATTAATAACATATATTTTGATAAAATAATTTTTTGGTAAAAGATATTTATAAGCCAAAACTTTTCTGAATGTTTCATTGAGACTGTTTGTCAACATGAAGTGGTATGCGCACATGGGGTCACGATCAACTTTGTGTGCTATGCAACGAACCAAACGAGATATGTGACCACTTCTATTTTGCTTGTCCATACTCTTTTACTGTTTTGTCAAATGTGAACGGTAATCTTCTTGGAGCGAGACTTACCCCATACTCGATTGACACGATCAACTCTCTTCAGACTAGCAACTTTGGAAGATCAAGATATGTTCTCCTACGTCTAGTCTTCCAGGTCACGGTATCTCAATTATTGAGGGGAAGGAATGGCCGAATTCATCATTCTGGCAGCCTCTCCATTCAAATGATCATTCGGAAAATTGACAAGCTCATCCGTAATAGAATCAGATCAGTCTGTCAAGTTCCAACACATAACAGCGACTTGATGTAGCTCTGGTTTGCTAGCCGAACCTAATCTCCTGTTTCCAACTTTCACATTTTCTATTGTTTTGTAAAAGGCTAATGTTTGAACCAACTTTCACATTTTTCTATTGTTTTGTAAAAGGCTAATGTTTGAACATTTCACGTCTTTAACAGATTCAAAAGCCTATTTTTATTGTAATCATATTTTTGTTGCAAGAATTCTCACATTACAATAAAAAAAAAAAAAAAATTCATTGAGTTTGTTAAGAGTCGCGTACTCTTAGAGAATGCATGTCTTTTTAATTGAAGAATTGGTGGAACTACCACAAGACCGCACATTCAGCCTGATTGACCATCAAATTAGACATTTCCAAAACTATAAACTCTTGTTGACCAATTCATCTATTGGTGTCTCCAAATGAAATATAGTTTTGCAAAAATCAGAAACATCTCTTTATTATTAATTTAATTAATAAAGAAAAAATTAAAATATAAAAGCTAAATGTATTAATCTATATATAATAGCAATCTCAATAAATGCCTTTTGCACATTTGAAGGGTTGTGTCTTTAAACGCAATTTTTCGTTAAAATTTTTAAACTAAAATATATATTTTACGGGTATATTTTTTAGAAAACTGCAATCCGAATGTATTCTGCGGTTGCGTCTTTTTATTGTAACTCTTCATAAACAGTTGCAACCCCTTATTCGAATTATTGTAATATTTAGTTTATTTCACGAACAATTGCAACCTTTAATTTTTATATTTAGTTTATATCACAAACAATTGCAACATTTGATTTATATATTTATTTTTGATTGCAACCTTTGATTTATATATTTAGTTTATTTCACGAACAATTGTAACCTTTGGTTAATTTTATAAATTGTTATAACATCTAATTATCTACCGTCGCGTCTCTCGGTATAACTTTTCATAAATTCATATTTTTAGTTTTTAATTACCAAAATGTATTTAAATGAGATTGTAATCGTTTAATTGAACCGTCTAAACATTTGGTTTATTTGACCAATCATTGCAGCTTTTGGTTTTGTTTTACGAACTGTTGTAATCTTTAGTTTATTTGACGAACTTGACGAACCGTTGCAACTTTTGATATATCGCAACATTTCATTTATTTATTTTTTATGAAAAAAAATTATTTTACGTAATGTTTTTCGAAAAAGTTGCAATCTGAGTAAATAGTTTTTACGGTTGCATCTTTTTATTGTAACTTTTCAGAAAATGGTTGCAACCGTTTAGTTGAACCATTGCAACATTTAGTTTATTTCACGAAATTTTGTAACTCTAAGTTTATTTTATAAATCGTTATAACATTTAATCATCTACCATCGTTATTTTTAATTTTCGTTTGATATTTTTTTAAACGATTTTTGAAATATTTTCCCTCGCGCCATCGGGGGGTCCGGAGTCCTAGTGTTCATAAAGAAAATAGTACAATATATATATATATGCAAACGACCTAACATTCTAAACATAATACACATTTCACTTCCTAATTCTAATCACTTAACAAACTAATTTGGTGGTCATACAATGAAGGAAGAGTCAGAGAGGGAGCTGGCTCGGCATATAAATTACTTCAACCAAAACCGACCCACTTTAAACCACTCTCGAGGCGGTTTTCTTCTCTTGGTTGAAAGGTGAGACTCTTCCTCTTATATTTTCTTGTTTCTTTGCGTATTTATCTTGTATCGTCTTTTCCTCTCTTTGCCGGAAAAACTCTCTTCTTTGTCTGTTGTTACTTCGTTTCTACTCCGATTATTCCTATCTCTTAATCTAAGAATTCTTGACCATGTTCTTCACCGGTCCATGAACCCAAGATTGAAATGATAGAAATTGAGGATACTGACACGTCCTTCGGTTTCAAACATTGTTCCATGTGACGCTGTTATATGCACCCAACCAAAGGATAGATTGGACCATCATTATTTTTCACTGTCTTCAAAGGATTCGCTCGGCGATATTAGGAACTTTTGTCGGGTTCTCCCATATTTTTCTATTTTTTAATTTTTTATTGTAATTTTAAACAAATATTTTTTATTTTTTGTAATTTTAATTAAATAAATAATTAATCATAGATAGAAAATTTAATTTAAATTTTTTTTTACGAAGATAAAAACAATTAGTAAATCCACGTTAGTATTTGTAACAAAAATTGAACAGTTTCGTTGGCGGAATCAATTTGCTCGTTGACTTTTTTTTTGTCATCCAAAAATTAATTAAAACTCAAAATAGGTATTCCTGAGAAATGTTGTTTACATATGTGATATCAAACGGTTATGTACGAACTATTTGTCAGTTGACTGCAAACACGAAAGTCACTTAAAAGATTTAAAGTTATAAAATTGTCATTTTACTAGTTTTTTGTAAGAGTTTAAAATCATATAAATTTAAAGTGGAAGTGATTGTCAGATTGTGGTTGCTACCTGTTTTTTATTTAAAAAAAAAATTAATTTCATGCACAAATGACTAACCACTGAACCGGACATGAAATTACAAAACCGGGCTCTCAGCCACCACAATAACCGGTCAGCACTAAACCCGGTGTTCGTTGACGATGTTGTTGTATTCATCGTTTTTGTCACGTTCCGGTTTGTTTTGTGGCTGACGATAAACACAACACAAAAGAAGAATTTAGGGTTTGTTTGAAACTAAAGAGGAAGAGAAAGAGGAAGAAGAAGAAGAAAATTTCGTACAATTCCGCCATTAAAGCTTCCACCTTTAATGGCGACAACGACAATTTCTTCCTTCTCTCTTTCTCTTCCTCAACTTCTCCGTAAACCCACAAAGCCTCTTCCTTTCCTCTTCCTTCTTCCTCGATTCAATCGAAGATTTCGAAGTCTCACTATCACTTCTTCTTCAAGCAACTTCAGTAGTAATTGTGGCGATGATGGCTTCTCTCTCGACGATTTCACTCTCCATTCTGATTCTCGATCACCTAAAAAATGTGTCCTTTCTGATCTTATTCAAGAGATTGAACCATTAGATGTGAGTTTGATTCAAAAGGATGTTCCAGTGACTACTTTGGATGCTATGAAAAGAACAATCTCGGGGATGTTGGGGCTTCTTCCATCTGATAGGTTTCAGGTTCATATTGAATCTCTTTGGGAACCTTTGTCTAAGCTTTTGGTATCTTCAATGATGACTGGGTATGCTCTCATCAATACTATTCATTAGGATAACTTCTCTTTGAGCATTGTGATGTTGAACTAGCTTAGTTTTAGGTATAGTGGAAGCTTGGAATTATCATGAAAGTTGAGTCGTTTTGTGGCGCTGAATCGACGGTTTAATTTAACTGTCATGAAGCTTATATCAAAGAAAAATCTCTATAGAATCGAATTATGTATCGATATCACATAGGTGGCTTGTTTACTAGTTGCCTCTGATATTGGTCTCCTTTACCTTGGTTTCAATAGGTTATTTTTGTAGTAAATTAGCTTCTTAGTTCGGAATAGTACATCTTTATGATGTTTTGGTACTGCAGGTATACATTGAGGAATGCTGAATATCGGCTTTTTCTTGAAAAAAATCTTGATATGAGTGGTGAAGACTTGGAAAGCCGCACTTCGGAAAATACTGAATACGATTTGGAAGGGACGTTGACTGATGAAGATAATGATTCATCCAAAAGGGATAGCATAACTCAGAGCCTTTCTGAAACGATTGATGAAGAAGGTTTAGGCAGAGTATCCTCTGAAGCTCAAGAATATATCTTTCGTTTGCAGTCACAATTGTCTTCTATGAAAAAGGTGCAGTTTCTAATGTAATTGTTTATTTCTATTAAACACAATATAAAAGTTCCCATACAGATTGTTCTGGACTTCTGGCTAGGAACATTTTGTTGTTTGGTTTTGTGGATATGTTAATGAGTTCTTACTCTAATCCATATTTTCGTGTTACATGATGTCACTGCATTATAGGAATTACAAGAAATGAGGCGAAAGAACGCTGCCCTACAAATGCAACAATTTGTTGGCGAAGAGAAGAATGATTTGTTGGACTATTTAAGATCTTTGCAACCTGAGAAGGTTTGTGTAAAAATCGCTGAAGCCATATTCCAGCTTGTGGGATATTTTTGCTTGTCTTAATTTTCCGTTTCTCTCGGACCATCTTAACTATATTCTTAACAGGTAGCTGAGTTGTCGGAACCTGCGGCTCCTGAGGTTAAAGAGACAATTCATTCTGTTGTTCACGGTCTTTTGGCAACTCTATCACCGAAGATGCACTCCAAGTTTCCAGCATCAGAAGTGCCACCTACTGAAACGGTGAAAGCAAAAAGTGATGAAGATTGTGCTGAACTTGTAGAGAACACCTCGTTGCAGTTTCAGCCTCTTATCTCACTGACTCGAGACTACCTTGCTCGTCTTCTCTTCTGGTTAGAATTGCCTTGCTCTATCTCTCTCCCTCTTACTTGCTACCCTTTACATGGATTTTGTATATCTACCTACAAGCACAAATGGATCCTCTCAAAAGAAACTTTATTGTCTCTTGATTCTAGTACAAAAGACTTCTTATATTACGGTGTCTGCTTTCAATTGTTAGGTCCATGCTATTGGGACATTACCTCAGAGGTTTGGAATATCGAATGGAACTGATGGAGGTCCTGTCTTTGACGTGTGATGCCAATGGGTCTGAGAACGTTGCTTGAAGCTATCTTTACATATCTCAACGTTGTCTTACATGCGTATCACCGGCCTTGACATTCTTAAACCAACAAAGTGGGCAAGTGACTAAGAGAAAGGCCAACCTTTGAGCTTTAGCTCCTGCACATACATGCAACTTGGTGCTGGCCTGAAAATTCTGTGCGAGGTAAAGTGTAACATAAGAAATCACTTCTGCTAAAATTAGTTTTCGTTGCATTATCGTGTGATGGACCTGCAAAGCAATAAAGCTAAGTGTAATTGTATTCAGGTATATACTCGTTTGGTCATTAAGTATAGTTTGTCCTATAATCTTGGCTCAATTGGAGTGTCAAGCGGGTTTATTTGGCCTGGTCCAGCCCTTTTAGGCTTGGCTCAAGAGTTTATCTTAGTCAAGCCTTAGTTTTATTTTTCTCTGGTCTCCGGTTTACGTATGCAGGATCCCATAAACGAAATCCAACACTTCCGATATTCGATAAACAAGCAATTTTAAGACAAGAATGTATGCCTTCTTAAAAGTGAACCCATTTGAACTTCTCAATCTTTTTCTAGGACCTTTAAAGTTTGTTTAGGGTTCATCAATATTCTCCTCTTAATCTTACTTGCAGCACAAGAGTTTACTTCAATCAGCATATGTATTTGTGACTTCTTCAGTTTCGATAGAATTTTCACCATCTTCTCCTCTATAATCTCTTAAAGGTTAGAAGTTTGGACTGTCAAAACCTTCTGGTCTGGATAATCTGCAAATGATCACCAAAACCATTACCCTTGAAACACATCTTATCCTCTTTGTGTTCTGTAATCTGTAGTGTTCAACTTCATAAATATGTTTCGACTACTTGAAAATTTTGATGAATGTGTAAGAGTAGATTACGGGCTGCTCTCCACACTCCCATCGAAACCGGAAAATATCAAACTTCCTGTTGGAAGTGTGTATGCTTTAACTAAATGTTATGCTTGTAAGTTTTAGTCATCAAGCAAAAAATCTCTTCTTCTTAAGACCTTCAGCTTCTCCTAATACTCTCTCTCACCTTACGCGTGGGTCGGGTTTTGTGCCAAGAACCGTCCAATTTTTTCTTAGATGAGTTCAAGTAAGTTTTTGCCACAAAAAGGTTTAACATTAAATTCTTAACCTCACCAAATATATTTTCATTCAATGAATTCTGATAAAGAGTTACATATCCTAAATTATTTATAGAAATTGGTTCTTTGCTATGTCCAAAAAAATATTGTAAAAAGAAAACGCAGACAAGGAAGTAGTTGAAGCACGTGATAAACCTAACACGTTAGTCAGTCTTTTTAAAACCTCGTAAACGTTATCTCATAATTATTTACCAAACACATTCTTCTCTTCTCTTCTCTTCTCTTCTCTTCTCTTCTCTATCTCCCAGTCTTCATAGAACCATCTCATTCATTGGTACAATACAAATTTGGATCAAAAAATAATTCAGAAAAAAGGTTCTCGATTCAATTGTTTATATTGGTTGAGCCGATCTAATAATGCAACATCTTTATTATAATATGTTTAATGAATATCTTAGTATAGGTTTTTTTTTTTTTGGTAAAGTAGTATAAGTTTTTTAACAAACTGAAGATATATATAATATCCCTGATTAACATCAAATAATTTTAACACTTTTATTATTTAAACTTATTTCAAAGAGACAGAAAATCTCGTTAAAGCTTTTAAGAACATTTGGAGTATCATGAGATAGCTTTGATTGTTTTGACTTCTGATAAATTTATAACTCCACATTATAATCACTAAAGCCAAATTGATACCGGGAATGAAAAAAAAAACTCACAAGCAAAATATTCATTTATATTAATTAGTTCACTGGATCTCTCTTATTTATTTATTTAAAGATTTGGCTGGAAAGAAGTAGAATCAAGGACATTTGGGAGTGCCTTTGCTACTGAGCTTGTCACGGTAGCAAGCACATTCATGCTTGTTCCCATAAGTGCCTGAAGGAACACACTGACAGTCTTTGCAACATATCGCACAATACTTCAAACACCGATCTTTCATCCCCGCTGCTTCGCATCTCCCTTCACACTTCTGTCCACACCATTTCTCTAACGCCGGTCCATATTTGATCTCCTGCGCCGGAGCTACCGCGCCACTACCAAAAGCATCTAGAAGATCCACAAGATCATTAGTAAATTAACATTAATTAAAAAAAAAAAAAGATCATTAGTAGAAGTATTGTATATAAATGATCTAGATTTGTATCTATCAAAGTTAAATTTTTTTTACTTCAGTCAGTATAATATGTAACCTAAAGGTTATGATTATGAGAATGAATATAATTATTTCTAATACAACAAATATCTCCTTACTTCTCAATGTAAATTGTAAAAGGATCTATTCACTAATGATTGCGTGGATCTTCTAGATCCTTCTACACCACCATCACAAGAAATTATTTATTTCAAATTTGTATACATAGATACGCTTTTGATTTTGCATCTAAAGCCATGTAGATGAAGCTCACTTTATTTTAGTGAGTTTTGCAGAATTTGACTAATAAGTCCAACTAACTCATGATTGTTAATGAACTTTTGTATTTTCGTTTGCATGTTTTGATGAATTGATGTTCTAGTTATTATTTGTAAATTTTTTCTAATGGAAACGAAAACATAAATTAAAGAAACAATTATTACCTAAACCAATTATAACACAACTAACTTTACGAAGAAAACAGAAAAAGAAAATAGAGAGAAGAAGAATCTTGAAGAGATTAGAACCAACCTGAGATAGTAGCCGAAGCAAGAGATGAAGTGATTAGAAGAAGTGAGGCTAGAACGAAGATGGAGACTATTATTTTCATGTTTATTTTCTTTGGCATTCTTTAGTACCCGAATGATAGTTGGAATCAAGTTTCTATTGTTCTTGTGGTCTCTTTATTGCCCTTTTATAGGCCAAGCTACCAACTTCTTTATTTATATTTAATAGAACTACAGTATACCTTCAATTATGTTTTCCTAATTAAAACAAACTTTTTCAGTTTTCTTTTTTTTTTCTTTTTTTTTTGGTCTTAGAATTCCATTTCAAAATTCAGACTAATCCTTAAAATTTGTAAGAACATAAAAACTTTCATTTAGTATTCTTTTTTTTCTTCTGGTAATTACATTTAGTATTCATAACAATAATAATGAAAATCAAAACATATTTTAATCCGTCACAATCTAATTATTTACTTTACACAACCACAGTCAATTATTATATTTTCAAAAATAAATATGTTAAGATATATAACAAATAGGTTGAATTCTTTTTTTTTTTTTGAGGGAAACAGACTGGTGACAGAATTTGTTTTTCTTTTTTTTTTGGCTGGTGACACATAGAGAAAGAAAAACAGACGAAACTGGGGAACAAGATTTTCTCAAGACATAATTCCACGCGGTTTCTCGCACATGACTCTTTGGTTCTCTCACTCTAGGACTCATTTATTTGTTTGTTTGTTTCTATTTCCAAATGGGACAATTTTTTTAACAACTCTGCAGGTAAGATCAGATAGAAGATATTCAGATGTAATATATCTTTTACAGAATATTTTCCGTAGTTTGCACTACTATTGTCTATGAAGTATGAAGTTGATCGGATGTAGTTTAGGAAAATCATTAAAATGTATAAGGTACAGTAAAACCTCTATAAATTAATAATGTTGGGACCGAAAAATTTTATTAATTTAAAGAGGTATTAATTTATCGATAATTATTAATTTATAGAGAAATTTTACTAATTTTGTAATTTAAAAAAAAATCTATCTAAAAAGTTGTTTTTCTTTATAAGCAATATATATTTTAAAACCAATTACCAGTAGAAAAGCAATTATGAAGTTTAAAAAAGAATACAAACCTTTTTCGATCAAGTAAAAAATATTATAAATGAACTCTACCAAAAATTAATACAAATTTAAGAAAAACAAACAATTGTAGATTTATATTTCAATAAAAAATTGAAATATAATATTTTAAATATATATCATAGTAATTCATATATGACATATATAAATTAATATCATATATATTAAGTTATATATATATATATTGATAAGTTTATACAATTATTAATTTATTAAATTGGTGGGACCATATGTTTACATAGGATTTTTAGAAAAATTATTATCTTATTAATTTATCGATTTGTGTCATTTTTACACTAGTCCTAACTCGGAACCGCAAGAATTTGTTAATTTATAGAGGTTATTAATTTACCGAGTATTAATTTATGGAAGTTTTACTGTACTAACTTAATATAATCCTGATTCGGCCATGAATCCAAGGCTATGACTTGCGGCCTTATAATAAATAAATCCTTTAGCTATCCGAGAATTAGATACAAGTCTCGCTTAATAAAAGACTGTAACATTGTTTATGTAGTAATGTGTTGGATTCCCTCTAATTTTGTAATGGATACTAAAAGGTAACCAAAATTAGACAAGCGACACTTGTATCAAAAATATACCCTTCAACATACAGTAAAACCTCTATAAATTAATAATGTTGGGACCTGAAAATTTTATTAATTTAGAGAGATATTAATTTATCGATAAATTAATAATTATTAATTTATAGAGAGATTTTACTAATTTTATAATTTCATAAAAACTTTCTATCTAAAAGTAAATTTTTCATTATAAGCAATTTTTTTTAAAACTAATTACAAGTAGAGAAGCAATTATTAAATTTATAAAACAACACAAACTTTTTTTCGAATAATAAAGTCATATTTCATTAAATTTTCTACATATAATATTTTAAATATATATCATAGTAATTCATATATGACATATATAAATTTATATCACATATATATATATATATATTAAATTAAATATACATATATATATATATATATATATATATTGATAAGTTTATACAATTATTAATTTATGATATAGATGGGACCATATGTTTACATGGAATTTTCAAAATAATTATTATCTTATTAATTTATCGATTTATATCATATTTTACACTGGTCCCAACTTGAGACCGGAAGAATTTATTAATTTAGAGAGATTATTAATTTATAGAGTATTAATTTATAGAGGTTATACTGTATATAGATGTATTTACGTATCAAGTTTTCAGCATAAAATAACAAAACATTTATTTGGATAAAAGATTCACAATATCATCTTCCAAATTTGCTATCTTTTGTATCATCCTAGTTTCCCTTGCTAGCTTTCATGAATGTATGTTGTAATGGTTTAAGTTTCGTTTGTTGTTTATCATCATCAGCTCTATAATCATTGTCATATCTTCCATAGTATTTGTCCTTGTTCAAAAACTCGGCCAATTCGGCCGATTCCACGGCGGCTAGTCGGTCGGCGGCACCTTACCGCCGGGATTATAGTATAATCAGTCAAATAATCGGAATAGTTAAGAAAAATTCAGTTTTTTTTTCCTTTAAGTTTGGATTGAGTTAGTGTGTTAGATCTATAAGTTTTTGGTATAAAAGACAACAAAAACACATTAAAATGATTGATTCTGTAAAAACGCATCCATGGCCGCCGCAAATTAGGGTTTTAAACTCGCATCCCTTTGAAGAAGACGACATATTAAATTACAGTTTTACCCTCCATCAAAGAAAAATGAAAAAACTGAATAATTGTGCATAGTTCGGGACTTGAACCCGCGCCACGAAGTATTATCGAAATCAGAAACCACTAGACCACGCTTACAACATGGAAACCTTCGCGAAAATACAATTTATATATTGTTTTCACAAAAAAAAACCTAAAACTAATCCCCGATTAATCCTCGATTTCTTTGCTAGGCGCTAGGCCTGACCCGAGCGCCCGACTAGCGCCTAGCGATTTTTTTAACATGGGTATTTGTAAATGGTTTATTTTATTTTTAATATAAGTAATTTCTTCAAATATATTTTTTGTTTTGGTTTTGGTTTTGGTTTTAATGCGACGATTTTATTCCGAATGAAAATTACAAGGTAATCTATTATTACAATAGCTACCCATTATCACAGGAACAAAAGACAGAAAATGAAATTTTTTATTAAGAAAGACGACTAAAGTAAACTCGAAGGAGAGACGCAGATTGCAAGTTGGGCTCCGGAAAGGACAAGAGCCGATCCCGCATGGTACTATCAATAGCGAGGCGAAGAGCTGCAGCGGTTGATTCAACGGCAGTGAAGATCCTTGTAACACCCCTCTCCCACAATTGTGGGCCTTTTTGTTTTAACATAGGATTAAGCCCATGTGACTAGTCATTGTTGACACATGTATATGTAATTATACTAGATGTTAACCCGCGGTACACCGCGGGCCTATATTTTTATTAAATAAAAAAATTGAATATTTTTTTTAAGATGATTTATAAATATATGCTACTGTATAGTACACCTTGGGACAATATTTTATAACTAATAATTTGAAATTTTAAATTGTATTTATTTTATTAATATTGTTTGTCTTGTTTTGTTTAGTGTTTAAGATTGTATAATTATTTAGATTGTTAATTCTAGGATTTTACCCATAGTATATCATCTCATATTAATATCGACCAAAACCTGTCTCACCATATAACTCTGTCCCGTGAAAATAAACATCATTTTGTCATTTTATTATAAAGTTCAAATATTTATAATAGTTGAAACTTCATAAAAGTTTTAATATCAACCCAAACTTCATAATTATATTTTGATTGTTATAATTACGATTTCACCCGTAGTATACCGTCCCGTATTAATATTTTTTTATAAATATTTATAATATTTAAACTTCTTATAAATTCGTATAAAGTTCAAATATTTATAATAGTTGAAACTTCATAAAAGTTTTAATATCGACCCAAACTTCATAATTGTATTTTGATTGTTATATTCAGGATTTCACCCGTAGTATACCATCCCGTATTAATATCTTTTATAAATATTTATAATATTTAAACTTTTTATAAATTATTATAAAATTCAAATATTTATAATATTTGAAACTTCATAAAAGTTTTGATATTATACATATTTAAAACGTTTAATAAAGTTAAACTTTTTCTAAGTAAATTTAGTGAAGTAGGTTTTATACCTATTATGCCTTTAATTATAAAATATTTTTTTAAAAAAATAGAAGAAAATATAATGGGATTTTCGATTTATATATTATGCCAAAACCTCTAATTAGAAAAGAGACTTTGCTTTCCAACCTCATTCATAAAACCCAAATCGCAAAAAAAAAAAAAAAATCTACTCTTTATCTCCGTCGATGGTTCCACCGGCGTAATCGTCGTTCTTCTTATTCATCTTCCTCTCCTAACGGCCTGAGCTTGCAAACACCGGAAAGAAGATTCTTAACTGAGCACGAGACCACGACCGGAGAAAAGAATCTTAAATTTGGCATGCAAGGTTAGTGATTTCTTAATTGAATCAATCTTTTGGTACAACCTCTCCGTGAGGCTCTTCACGATTAGAGAATCCAATGCATTTTAGGATTTATCATTAGTTTTGGTCGTGATTGGGTAACTGTAATTTTGTTTTCGTTTTGGTCGGTATATATGCCACTATCGAGTTTAATTTTGTTTTATGAACTTCTCATTTCTTTTAGGACTGTCCCTAAAAGATAAATAGATGTTGGATTTCGAAATTAAGGAATTTTAATTGATGAAATTAAGAATCTCATAGTCATGTGCATCTTAACAAAGATAAGTCAGTTAATTGTTTCAAACGTATCAGACTATATATGACTAACTTGTGTTTTGTTTCATAGGGAAAATTTCTTTCAAACTCTCTTACATGGGGATCAAACGGCAAGACTCATATGTTGCCACTTCTCTTTCAAAACAGGTCAGTAATACTAATTTCTTTAATAATCGTATACTCATGAATGTAGCTAATATTTAGAGTTGAATGATTCATTTAGTAGAAGTAAGAAATTACTTGAAACCTTTTAGTAA